AAAAATCTGTTAAGAGCATCCAGTTTATTTAGAAACTCCCTTAACACAGCACCATCCAGGTGTCCTGGTAATACTGAGATTCTTGCCTTCCTTATTTCTCAGCAGGTCTATTTTTTTGCCTCAGCTTTAACTGATAATAAATGTGGCTCAACTGTAAATGTGTTTTGAAGTCATATAGCAGCTTCCTGAAATGGGTATCACTGCTGTCTGCATGTAATTTTAAACTTACTGTGACCTGAAGAAATAAGCCCAGCAACTTCTGCTGGGGCACTGGCCACTAGGGAAAGGGACAGTCAGTGTCATGTGAGAGGCCTGTGTCACTACTGGGGGCATGTACCTCTGGGGAAAGGCTTTGCCCTGCACTTATGTGTCTCTAAATTCAGAAACTCCTATTCTCAAAGGCCTCAGCCTTGCCCTTCCTGTATAACATTGCAGCCAAGGGAAAAACTGTCCTCACACAATTTTTGTGTCTCAGGCTACAAACTCCCTGAGTCCCTCTGTGCAGATCAGAGGGACTGTTTGGATAGTAGCTTGTTCCAGGAGGGACAGAAATTACGCACAAACTAGGATAAATGATCAGAAACTAGTTCAAATCTGTAACAACAGAAGTTCACTGCACATAAACCGCCTTCAAAATGGCCAAAACAGGTTTAAGATAAACCTGGATGGATGTAATATCAGACTTAACTGATTTAGGTGAAATCAGTTTATTACACTTGTTTCAGATCCCCTCCAGATTCAAGTCAACTCACAGTACCCCAGCATCCCAAGATGTTTTGCGTCTCCCCTGCAAGTCCTCCTCCCCCCCTTGCGGGGTGGGTGGGCTAGCCATGGCCCAAGCTGTCTGCTTCATCTGAGCAGGGAGCCATGTTCTAGCGCCTCCTGGCTTCTGGCTTGGGTCACTGCAGGCATGTGGCTGCATTTCCAGAATCAAAAATGAATGTCTGTTCACTTGCTTATTGGTTCAATCTATGCAGCTTAGACAAACCTGCAAAGATTTAATTGATTCAGCCTCGGGCTTTTTCAGTGTCTGTACTTAGCTGAGGTGGAAGCTGTATGTGTGTCCACATGCTCACAGTGTATGCATCTCCTCCTGTTCCCTCTAACTTTTTTGCTAGTAGCATGACCATCAGACAGCTCCTGGACCCTTCTCGTAGAGTAAGAGCCCGCTGAGTGATTAGTGAATGTAGCTCTGAATGGTATTAGTAGGCTGTTTTTATAGAGCCCTAGGAATGATTGAGGACGGGGATTTTATAGCAAAGCTGTAGGCTTCTTAGCACTCCCCGGTGCATGAACAGCTACATAAATGCAGTGGGGCTACCCATGCTTCATTCTATCATGTGCCTTTAGAGTGAGGGCAGGACCCTGGAACTGTCACCATGAAAATGCTTCTATGATTATCTGTGTACAGAAGGCCAATGTAGAAATCACTTACCTCACCTCACAAAAAGTGTTTATTCTCATTCTCCTCCACTTGGGTGTGGATCTATAAAGCACTCTCTCCATAGGACCATGCCATGGAGAAATGGGAGGGTTCTCGGCTGACGCAAAGCTGCAGCATCCTACAGCGTGGGGTTGTTTCTGCAGTACAGTAACTTAACCTGTCTAGTCTCATTTAAATAGCTTGATTGAAGGGGCTGCTACACTTCCCATGGGAGGCAGTTCTGTAGCATCCTAGACCTAACTCTCATCCTGTTAGTCAGCTTAAGTATCCCCTATTTAATTTCACTCTTTACTTCTCATTTTGCTCTCGTCACCCTAAGTGATATCTTTTTTTTCTTCCTTCATGCGAACAGTCTTTGAACATCTGAAGTTGCCCTTTCTTTTTGGAGTGTCCTCTTAACCAAGATATTATCATGTCCACTGTTAAATCTTTTTTTAAAGTGCCCTTGTAATTCAATAGTACCCCCATAGTCCATGTATTCACAGGTGCCAGAAGTCCATTTGCTGGTGTTCAATGGACATCTGACTGGTCAAATGATTTTATCTGACTGTTGACTTCACCCCTAAGTCCTTATGGCAGCCTAATCCCTTCCGCTAAATGTCTGTTTCTCTATCTTGGGTGGAAATCCATTTGGTTATTTTCCTAATATGTTCATGTTCCGTGTGCATGCTGTCACTGATACTTCAGAGGGGCTGAGAGTTGTTGAATCCTTGCCTTAAAACGGTGTGGACAGGTGTTGCAGTGAATCTGCCTGATTTTCCTAGGACACAATTGAGGTTGTGGTGCAGGCATCAAATGGTTAGGACTATCATTTGTACTTCAAACCCTATCTAGTTCTGTGGCCACTGAGTCAGAAAAGCTTTTGTTTTACGTACTGTTGCAGAAGGCGCCAGGAGGAGTTGTGCTTGCCCCACATGACTGTGAGGTGTGCATGACTGAATCCAGCTGCTATGAGGAGTTGGGTGGATCTAGCCATTCTGCTGTCAATACATCTCCTAGGGAACATGGAGCTAAAGTGCATCCTCCAGCCCCAGAATTAGCCCCGTGACCTCACCTCAAAGCAGTGTCTGTCCCATGTATAAGGGTTGCGGCAAAAGCAAGGTGCAGGAATGTGACGGTTATGTCCTTAAAGCTGCACATGTGTTACATCGCAGTATGGCTGGAATGGGAAGCTCTATTGACTGCATGTTCCAGAGTGGGTGGCAAGCATTGCTTCCTGTAGGGTGGCTGCTTAAGTACTGGCTCCAGAATGTCTCACTGTATCCCCACTGTACTGTGCAACAGAGGCTATTTCGTTAGGAAAATGAGGAAAACACAGACAGCTCTTTGCACTGTGGTCTTTCTTAGTGGTGCAAGGACTCTGCTTTTCCAGCTGTACAATAGCGTGCAACATAGACTAATGCCCAGATATCCAGGCCCTCTGAATTTCAGTCCCACTAAGTGACCTGCCTGGCTGGTACCATTCAGAGGTAAATGTAAAGCAGGAGGAGCAGCACATATCCTATTCTGTCAGGAGCTTTCAAAGAGGAAGTGTGTGGGACAAAGTGGGAGAATCCAGATCCTAGCAGTGCTAATGCATTAGGCAGAAGTCATTTATCATTTCACTGGAGTACATAAGGTGCTGCTGAGTTCAGAAAGCTCTGAAGAGCCTGGAGCACTAGCTGTAGATGTGTTATCTACATAACTCCCTCCAGGGTTGAAGAGGAGAGCTAGAAGAATCCAGGACCAGTACAGGATAGCTTCAGTACATATCCAATGCCCATGTAGATGGGCAGGAAGTTAGGTGACAAGACTGGGGTTATTGGTATGTTGGACAGATCAAAACTGGTTGTTTCACTGGATATGGAGGAAATTATGTATCCAGTAACTGCTAACAAATTTAAGAAAGTATAATAGGATGAGCTGTACTCTGAATATGTGCAGTAGTCAAGGGAGACTGTGAGAGTGGAAGCAAACTGAATAAAGCAATAGAGAAAGGAAAGAACCAGAAAGTGCTATGGCCTAGGGACTTTCTCTTTGCCAACTTGTCCAATTCTGTTGGAGCCTTTGCAGAGTGTGCTGCCTGTTTCTGTTCTTTGAGACTCCATCAGAAAGTTCCTCACTTGTTCTGAGTGGGGCCATGTGAGACAGACATCTGCCCCGAGGGAGGTAGCTGCACCTTCTTCAAACTGCATTACTTCTCCTTTTTCTCTCACAGACTACCTTTGAAACAGTCCCATTATCACTTGAAAGTGATGGCTGCTGGCTGAAGCTATATTATTGTTTCGTGAGGGAGGGGGGAACAGCTTTGACGTGTGGGTCAAACCTTAGAAAGAAGAATCCTTCAATGCTGCAGTGGGCAGGCTTAACCCCTTGTGTGCAGTGTTCAGATATTATTCTGTTTGTCAAGGCCTTGACCCCTAGAGTGCCAGACCTGTACGACTGATGTGGTATGCATATCCTTTGTATACTAATTCTGTACAAAATGAACCCCCTTTAGTTATGAATTAATTGATCTGCTCCTTTCCTGACACTGGTGCTGTCTGAGCTTAGAGTCACAATGATTGTGTCCCAGCTTGTCCAGTATTTTGCAACTTTAGGCAAATCATATAACGTGTGTGTATTAGCTTACCTTAGCTTTTCATAGACTGGAACAGTGTAAGGATCACCATTTCATGGGTTACTGTGAGCATTAATTTCTGGTTGTAAAGCACAGTGAGCTCCTTCTGTGAAAGTGCCATGGAATGATAATGCAAACTATGCACTGCTCAAGCTGCTATCTTGTTCTTTTCCCCTTTGGAATGTAAGTTGCAGTACTTGGGTCTGTAGAATATTTTTGTCCTTATTCAAAGAAAGGTTCCTAGTTTATTGCACTTTGGTGTGTAAACGGAAGTTTAGAAGCAGTGCAGAAGTAGAGATTGAGATAAGTGCAATGGGTGAGAGACCAGTGTGAGCTATTTTGATTATACATTAAAAAATGCCCGGTCTTGCTGATTCATTATGGAGCACTTGGCTATATTGTAGTGCATGCATGTGTCTGGGGCTGTAGACTAGTCCTACAATTAATCTTCCTTCTAATTATTGAGGGGCAGGAATAATACACTTTGAAACACTTGAGCATAAATATGGACAGTGCTCCTATGCCCCTGGCAATTTTTGGCTCCTCTCGTTTTTGAAGCACTACAGCACGCTCTCTCACATGTAGTCTAAGGAAAAGACCTGTTTTACAGCATGGAACTCGCTACCCCAGGATTTTGTTAAAGCAAATTGCTTTTTAAGTTTCAGGAAAGGATAAGATTTTTCTATGAAAAGGCAACACCAGCTCTAGGATAAAAACAATGAGTCCTTTTAGTCCTCAGGCATCAAGATGGAAGCTGGTCAGCAGCAGGGGTCAGGAAGTCATGTCTTGGCCCAAGATGCTGTATAATGCATGTGCGTGCATTGTGGAGGAATTGCATCTTCCTCAGAAGCATCTGGAACCAGCTACTGTGCATGTCCAGTTTTCTGGCTGAACACCAGCCCTCTCTCAATGATGGGATATGAGAGCTGGTCCAATGGCTTTCACATTGTGTTTCAGGTGCCTGGGCCCACAGTTATCTCCATCCCCATGAACTTCTGTTCTGATGCAGCCGATGGTCAGGCAGGAATGCCCCTACGCTCTCCCACGATGTCATGAGTGGTGCGCAGCAGACCTGTCGGATCACAGCAGCACGTCTCGCCCACAGTCTCAGGTAAAGGTGCCAAGCTTGCAGAATAACACTTTGTTTAATTTCAGTCACCAAATATCTTAATTTGTAGCAAATGGTCATCTCTCTCAGTCTTGGTTGTAGGGCAGCTGTTGGCTCCTCTGCCACCACCCTGAGCTTTCACCTAATGAGAACACTTTGCACTCATGTGGCACCTGCCAACTGCACAGCTTTTTCTCAGGTAGAGACAGGCTAGAGACAGCAAGCAGGCAGGGCTGGTTCCCATTCTGGATCTCAAACTCCCTTTCTGTATCTTATGTGTGTTGGGAGAGGGGCTGGCTGTGTTTGTTTTGCTACTTCTTGCAATATTTGGTGTTTCCTTTGAAATGCCAGCTCTTGGAATTGTGTGACTTGAGGAGAATCTCAAATTTCCTTTTGTAGGTGTTTGAAAAGCAAGCCTCTAACCCTCACAGAGTGACTAAGGTATAGTGTAAAGGTCCTGGAATCCAAAGGCCAAGAAGGTGCCCACTGTCTTTAAGTACCAAGATTATTTGGCGCCAGATTCTTGATTTTTGAACACTTGGGGTATTGGCAGCACTGGATATTGGGATTTCAGGATTCAGCCTGTGAAAATCCCAGCCTTGAGCTTTGGAGCAGGCAGGAGTTCTTCTTGGCTGTGCCTGTCAGGAAGAGGAAGCCATCTTGATAGAGGCTCTGGTCTGTGTGCACCTCCCGTAGGCTGTGTCTGGAATCACTAGCTGTGTATCTACCTTGCACTTTGTGCCAAGCTGTCTGAGGCTTGCTGGTGACTTGTCTGTAAAAAAAGAGCCAAGTTGAGTAAGCCAGGGCTTTAGCCCATTGCAGAGAATTGTCTGCATCTCCATATTGCTGGTCTGCTACAAAGCTTCATTTCCCTTTCACTGTTCCTTCACATAGTGTCACTGAGCCTTTTCTGTCACCTACAGGATGCTGGACTTGGCTGTACCCAACAATGGCAATGCTGCCTTCAGAGAGATGCTAGGCCTCTTTGGCCTGAGTAGTTTTTTTCTCAGCATTACCAGACTTTTGCTGGCTTCAGAAAGTGAGGAGCTGAGATTGGGGCCCAAAGCTGGACTTGTGTTAGCTGCATGGTGTATTTGCCTTTAAAGTGCCGCCTACCTCACCTGGGAGAGCCAAGATTCCAGAAGGAGAACTTGGAGATGTGAGAAGCTGGCATCTATCTGTCTGAACCAGCCCCTCAGTTGCTGGGCTGTAAATGTGAAGATCACAGATGGGCCTGGCTTGTTCTGACTTACTGCTTATCGACTAGAGGTGGCTGTTCGATAGCTAGCACCAGGAAGTGCGTGTGAGGAAGCTCAAACATGACCCATTAGATTCAACAAGGAGCAACTGGGAAGGTGAGAGGGAAGGAGGGCAAAAAGCAAGCAACTCTCTTCAACTGGCTTTCCCCCCTGACTGTGGGCAGGCAGAGGATCAGTCCAAGCAGTCTATCTAACCCTCTATCAGGGTGGATTTGGGGGTAGGAAGGAGAGGAGAGGGAGTACAATTAAGTAGGGAAACATACAAGCGTTGTCTTACAGATGCTTGAAACAAGTAGCAGTCTGTAGAGACACTGATGTTTGAGGCCTACTCGTAGGAAAATACTCTGGGCTTGTGTATTGCTTGCCACAGGTCTCTCCTGACTTTGGCTCCTACAACAATTCCAGCCCTCTGCTGCACAGGTGCCAGGCAGTTGGCTTCCTCTGCTTGCAAGTCACTGGTGTGAGTAACTTCTCTGTCTTCTGTCTGCTGCAAAGCATGTGGTGTCTGCCCTGCCACAGCATAGCCCATCAGGGGAGCTGGTTATGCTCATGTCCTTGGTTTACAGTGGACTCCCACCACGATGGGGAGCTGTGATTTTCAGCTCTGAACCTCCCATATGCAACCTGCCAATTCAGTCAGTATGAGAGGCCCCTGGATCAATTGGGGCAACCCAGTGGAGAGAGGGTGAGACAAATGGGTAGAGATGGAGAGGGGTGGTGGGAGAAGGCACAGGTAGAGAGGGCAGGCAGGCAGAGCAAGCAGAGGGCTCAGTGGCCGAGACAGCTCAACAGACAGACAGGGACGCGCAGGCAGAGGAAGGAGGGGAGGAGAGGGAATGATACAGGGAGCTTTTCATAGCATTCCTGTAGGAGGAACTGAGCATGGAAACAATGCCAAGCTGCAGGAACTCCTGAGACCTCTGTGGGAGACTTGAGAGGACAGGGACAGAATCCTTCTGGCAAAAACAAACTGTTTTTGCCTGGCTCAGAGGGGTGTGAACCATGCCCAGGAATGTTCACACTGATGTGTGGGCATTGGGATGGGGGTGCCCCAGCAGCTTGCCCGGCGAGCAGTGAATATGGCTTGGGGGGTTATGTCTGTCCTTAAAGGAGGTCCTGGCTGCCCATGCAGGGTGCACATGTGGTGGTACCCCATTTGGGAACTCGTGGTAGCTTATGCTTCCCCTCCTAGAGGAGTGAGCCAAGAGGAGACGCTTCTTCACTGATAATCAGCAAGGGCACTGATGGCTGTAGGACACTTCTGCAGCTCATCCAGGGCAGTCTTTTTCCCACCCCTTGTCATTCTTATATAGTAGAACCCAAGGAACTTTTATTTCAATTGCACCATGCTACCTCCGCACTGCCTGGGGGCTCTGGGATGTCCCAGCTTCTCCCTAGGCCTTTACCATCCTGGAGCTCAAAGCTTGTGTGTACTTTGTTTCTGAGAATCCTTCATCTGACAGGCAACTCTGACATCCCAGCACTTCTGCAACCTCAGGGGGTGGAAGCCTCCTGCACTGCTGCTCCAGGGGCCCTGTCTTCACTTAGCATTGCCTTTACTAGTGCTGTGGACACCCCTTGTCTAGCACTGTTTTTTCTTCTGTCTATGGGGCTGGTGCTGGGGGGAGAAGGTCTTCCACAGTCCAGTCGGGTCTCTTTCTCACACCCGTGTGCTGCAACCTCTCTTTCTCTTCCTCATGCACTTGCAAACTGCTGCCCTTGCACCCGTGGGGGCACAGGCAGGTTGGAGGGAGGTGGAATTCCACCCGGACAAAGCTGCGATTCACGGCAAAGCGGCTGCTGTTGCCGCCCCCCTCTGGATTCCTGGGGGGTCAGCGACCAGGGCAGCAGCCACAAGCTCCTCTCAGCCTTCCCACCCTGCTCCTCACCCTCCCGCTCCTGGCCCTGGCACACTGTGTCTCCTCCTTGAACGGGATGTTTGCTTTCTTCTGCTGTGGTCTGTCTGGAGCTAACTGATGGCCCAGCAAGAGCTGAGGTGCAATGTTCTCTCCTGTGAGAGAGAAGCCAAGCAGCCATGCCATGGATCCCTGGCTCTGCACAGGTAGGGGAAGATTGTGCATGTGTTGTCTGAAAATAAACCTGTTCAGATGTGTCTGAGTTTCAAGGGGGAAAGGATCCAGGCACCGCTGCAGCTGCAGCCATTGTGAACTGGTGCTTGCTGTAGGAGTGCTTTGTTCCCCCCCACTCTCTGGCTGCTGTCATTGTGGGTCATCCCTAGGATGTGTTGAAGATGTGCTGTGGACTTTTTTCTAAATTAGGCAAGAGAGGATGATGTTTCCTGAAGGGTTATTTACACAGTTGCCCCAGCTCAGCCCTGATCCTTTTGCATTTTCCCCTGGGACAGAGGCTGGCCTCTGTTCTCAGGGGGACATGCAGGGCTAACCTCCATTTTTTTCTGGTGCTGTGTGTACTTGCACGTGAAGTGTATTTATTTCCTATATGCAGGTGGGAGTATTAGCTTGAATGATTTCCGTGTCTCTTTCTGAGCCTCCTGTGCTGTAGCGTTTGATGGTTTTCTCTCTGCTTGCTTGATGTCCCTGGAAATACCATGGCAGACTGAGAAGCCATAAAATTAAATGTTTTCTGATGAAACATAAAACCATGCACCTTCCGCTTCTGTGACCATTCAGTATCCCCAGTGCTTCTTTGGGGAGCTGTGACTGTTACCATAGTGACCCGGCTACACTGTCATGTAGGCAATTCAGTTCTGCCTGATGTTCATGTTGGATATGGTTTCCTTCCCTGCTTTGAGGAGTGAAGGGACCTTATCCTCATGGGAGAGCAGAACTCCCAATCCCACCATGAAGTTTAGAGTGACTTCAGTGGCAGCAACAGGATAGTTCTGGGTGACTGGAGTTTTGTTATGATATTAGTGGCCCTGCATGTGTAGCATGAGCCACCGCAAAGGCAAACTGAGCTGCTGCCTCCTTCAGTGCTCTCTTCAAAAACTGCCACTCCCCCTAGGCATGGCCACACTTCTTTTGTGAAGCTCTCTCTGTCCGTGGAGCATGTGCTCTGTGGTGAAGAGGGCTCCTGGTACTGACTGCCACTTGGGAGCCTGGCTAATAAATCGGAATGGGAGAGAAATGTTGCCTTTTCTCCTGAAAACCACAGCCACTTCCCACCTAGAAAAATGCTACATGTTCGTACATTTTTGGCAACAAGGTGTTCTACTAGTGAGGAAATAACAGGCTTCTACCCACAGAACCCCAACACACAGCGCGAGTGTGCCTGGGTGACGCTGGATTGCATCTGATTTTGTTTTTCAGTGTCTCCAGTGAGGAGGGACTGTGCCCTTGCTGTTGGTGTGAAAGGAATTAATGGTCATAAGTGAGAAGGGGAAGGGAAGGGACATGGTTTCTTTCTTGACTGCTGCTGATTCACCGTGGGAATTGCTTGTTAGATCAATGGCCCAGTTTCCTTGCCTGTATGTTGGGGATATTGCTTCCTCAGATCCTGGGGGACTGTCAGGCTGAATTAATGACTGTGAAGTGCTTGGGGATCCTCTGGTGAAAGGGACTCTGAATGAGAACAAGTGCTGAAACAATCTCTCTTTCACGTGGCTTAATTGTGACCATATCTCACTGGAATTCATGCCTAGTCTTCATTCTGGGGTGGGTGCAGAGAGGGAGCAGAGTCTTGGCTTCCTGATAGTCAGAGAGTGTCCTCCCCTGCTGTCTCCTGTCTGTGGAGGTGGAAGCTTGTGATCTGCCAGGCAGCACAAAACAGGGACTTTGTTGTAACACATCTATGGTCACTTAGGACTTCCCTGCCGTCACTGCTTCACACCTGGGTCACACAGGACTGCACGATGGTGGTGATCCTCCCACCCCAAAAACACAGGCTCATGCCACTAGGGATACAGGGGAATCTTTGCAAGCTGTTAGCAGTGTGGGGTCTGCGACACATAGCTGAACCGCTCTCATTCAGTACAGTAGAAAACACTGGTGGCAAACACCAGCCAGTTTATTGCACCATAACAAGGGGATGCTGGGATATCAGTCTGACAATGTCTGGGAGCATAGACACAAACCCCTGCACACCTTGAAGTATGCTGTGTGTCACATGGCTATAGCATCCTTCTTCCAAGCCCTCATAATGTTCTAAACATTATTAACAACCTGAGCCCCTGTGAGAAGTAAGAGTGTTTCTATCCCCTTTTACAGAAGCTGTGGCACAGCACACAAAGGTTAATGGACAGGCCTAAGAAGACCTGGCGAATCAGTGGTAGATCTCAGCATGGCACTAGCCTTATGAGCTCTCTTTGAGGGTGATCTGTCAGATGTGTGTGTGTTTCTGCCTAGGTTAAAGCCATTCAAGATGGTGCAGGACTGCCCAGTGTAACCCAGCAGACTCCACAGAGTGTTGTCAAGCTCCAGACTGCTCTGGAGATGAATCTGTGCTGGAACGAGATCAAAAAGAAATCCCACAGCCTTCGGTAGGATTCTGCATGGAGCATGTTCACTGGCCTGTGTCTGCTTGGGGGTCTTGCTTGCTGGAGATGTTGGACATGAGCTTTTTGATCTTACTCACATAGCTGGCCACCCAAGGTCCCAGTGACCTCAGATCTATTTCCCTTGTGGCCTGCAAACCCAGGAATGCTCTGAGTCACTGACTTGCATCCTCTGCTTGAAATGTATTTGTTTTCATTTTCATGTGCTTGTGCTTTTGCTTCTTCTTTCCCCCTTGCATTCTCTTTATATCTCATCTCTTTTCTCTTTCCTCCCTGCCTCATTCTGCCCCTCTGTTTCATAGTTTCTAGGGTCGGAAGGGACCTGACCAGATC